AATCTTCGTTATTCAAGTGTGTTGTTTCAGATCATCCGGTGTTTGCTGCTGCAGGTCACAAACGGAAGTAAGGATAAAAAATAGTACTAATGTCTGTGAGCGTAGCGTAGCGCCTAACTAGAAATACAATTAGAAGGTTGGTAATTTCTGAAAAGACGCATTTCTTCTTTAGAAAATACGTCAGAAATGACACAACATTTTATTATCAATTAACATTCTTAAATTATGTTATAAAATGGTGGGTGGCACGGTGAGGACATCAGTAGTGGCCACTTCAAACACAAAATTGGAAAAATAAGAATTGAAGGCTACCGCACAGGTTCAGACTTCCAAAACTTGGACAATGTTGAATTTTGAAACGACTGTGGGAAGTTCATTTGTCGTGATGGACACGTGACACAAAGCTAGGGCTTACAGGAGCTACGTAGTCCGTGTACGAGTAGAAACCTGAGCACCAATCACCCCCGTGAACCAACCAGCCCCGTCTCCCCTGAAATAAATTCCAGCATTGCCCAACACCATTTAAAACTCATGAAACCTTTCGTCATCTCTCGACAGTATTTTCCTTCTTCTCTGAAAGGTGAGACGCTTTGTAGCTGATGGAAGAACGCACCAAGATTGCATCCTATTCCATACCATATTTCTTAATACAATGATTCATTGTCAGGATATATTTCTTTTACAAGCAATTTCATGTTATTTCACTAATGCTTATTTGTAAAACATCTCAACTTGTCTATTTCCACTTAGGAAGCTACATTTGATCCCCATTCTTCTTTCGAGGAACCTTCTTTATTTTCCGCAACAAAAATTGTTATAAACATTGACTGTTTAAACGAAATTAATTCATTTTTTTTTACTTCGTGCCTTTTGTACAATGAGATTTGTTTGAAATTGTAAGACTTTGTGTACGTTGTTAAGCAATTACGTACGTACATTTAGAAGATCTGATTTACACGCTTATATTTTACGAATGATGTTGGAGTCTTTTTAGAGAACGCGTAATTTTCAAAATGAAAGAGTGAAGCCACACTGAAAAGGTTCTTGTTCCTTAAAACTCCGAATTCGTCTGAGAGATACTGGTCATTTTTTCTGGCTTCGTTTGAAAATGATGAACTCCTTCATGGTCGTACTCTCTGGTATATTCATCCACCGTTTATTGAATGATACCTGCTTATGGAACACAGATGGAACTGCAGTGAATGGTACTTTGGAATATAGCAATTTTGAAATACAATTGAGATGAAATGTACTAAGAGGCGGAGAGTAAATATATTTAAAACATTTTAAGATTCATTGAACTGTACTGTTACATTGTGTAACGTGAAAAATGAAATGGAAATGTCAAATTCTTTCTTGTTGTACTTCTTTATTTTGGTTGTGTAACTTGTATACCATGGAGAAACGGAGACAGGATATAATGAGCAAGTTGCTTGGAAAATAAAATACAGGTTAGCTGTGGAGGCTTCTAGTTTATTTACAAAAGGGCGGCGGCATGGAAGCTACATAAATAATAAATACAAAGCATCAGGTCCTCGTGTACAACTGCTGAGCGCGAGCGTCGTCTTGACAGGGGAGTGGGCGTGTGGCGCTCGGCGGCGCCTGCGTTCAGCCGAGAATGGCCTTGGTGTGGAGCGGGCCGGCGAGGGCCTTGACGCCGGGGGAGGCGACGACGGCCTTGGCGGCCACCACCACGGGCTCGCGGTGCACCACGGCGTTGAAGCCGTTCACGGGGTCAGCGGTGTACTCGACGGTGCGGCGGGTGCCGTCGGGCTCCACCAGCGAGTAGCTGCCCTGCACGGCGTCGCCGTTGCGCGTCTCCTGCTGCGACTTGGAGTCGCCGGTGAGGGCGTCCTGGATGTCGTAGGCGTAGCTATACTGCGGGTTGGGGTCGAAGTCGGTCTCGACGGTGCCGGGCACCTTGCCCACGCCCACGGGCCCCACCACGGGTACGCCCACGCCGCCCGACTTGGCGACGGCGCCGTGCGCCGCGTAGGCCAGCGGCGAGCCCACGGGCAGTGCCGGCTGCGCATACGACGCCGGCGACCCGTACGCCCGCGCCGCCAGCGGCCCGCCCGCCGCCAGCACGCCCGGTGCGATCACCCCGGCGCGCGCCGCCGCCGCCAGCGCCGCCACCGCCACGCACGTCGCCAGCTGCAACAGGAGAGGGGGCCAGGCGTGACATTCGCAAGCCTGCCTATGTGACTCTGTCGCTCCTGAAATATTTATTTGTGAGAATAAGACACACTACATATGGTGCTTATACGGTATCTTTTGCTTTTCGTGCTCTGATTCGACTTCTCGTGAGTGCTCTGATTCAGCTTCTCTATGACAAACTTAAGTAGGAGCGTTTTCGAACTCGACTTTGATACTTCTCCGTTCTGCCTTAGTCTACATTTTACATTTCGGTAAACCTAGTAAGATTTGATTTCTCCTTCGCGCTATTTTCAATACTGCAGTTTTTGTTTGAAACTCAAATGAAATTTATTTTCTGATCTTTGAAGTCCCTAAAAATTCAACTAGGGGAACAAATGATTCCTGCAGAGCAAGGTTTTCAATGTCTTGAGATGCAAACCAAATGACATTCGTTAGGTACCATTAAATTAATTACCTTTTGCGTTCCATTATATCCGCATTTCCTTAGACTACGATTGAATGATCATTAATGCCATTTAACAGAATTTTGGTTAAACGTACTTTAAAAAATGGTTTTGATATTTTCATCTCATAGTTTTAAATATCTAATTCCAGAGCTGTAAATCGTCATAACATATTTGTAGAAATATTCCATTGTGTATGTGAATCATTGAGTTTGACAGATTTACTAGATATTTTTTACTTTTCGGAATTCTAAACGGTTATTTGCAGGTTTGAAATGGAGCTGTTCAGCCTTTTTGAATTAGAAAATGAAACAATTTGGCAACATTGAAATTTTTCGGAATGTAAATTTTTAATGAAGTCACCAATTTCTAGATTTTTTAAAATCTATTTTCACTACAAAAAAATAAATAAATAACTGAATTTCAAGTATTGTTGTTCTGTCATTAATACGTCCACCACAATTTTTACAAGTACATTGCAATGATTTTAAAATATCGCTTGAAATTTGTATAATTCCTCGAAGGCATTCGAGAATGAATATAAAACTCATTATTACAAGTTATTCAGATTGAGACCTGCTGATGTGTAATCTTAGATGATGTGCACACCACTTTTGGAGGATCTTCTTTTGTCACCATTCACTTCTACGGAATAATTTATATGTAAGGTTAATTTTATCACTTGCCCATGTAAATATAATAGTAATCGCATGTGAAAGATAGTTGCTGTCAGCGCGATATATATCTACAAAAATTATTTGGTTCACAAATGGATGTTAATACGAAACCTTCGAATCGATTTTCAAAACATGCGTTACGAAAAATTCGCGTGCACTAGCGGAGCGGTTCGAAGCACAAAATCTACCACTGCGGCGCACCTTGAGGGCCATGGCTTGTTGCGAAACTTGGGCTGCTGAGTTGGTGCAGATGTAGCTGACTGCTGCTGCCGCTGCTCCTACCGCGTGTTCTTCGAAGGCTGCTGGTAGGCTGTGCTTCTCGGAGGGTGCTCGCGCCCCTTTTATCCAAGCGGATGACGCAAGCAGTGCGGCGACACGCCCGTCGCGACGCCGCCCCCTAAACGCACAGTGTCGTGGCGCCGCCCCTCCGCGCCCCCTCGTCCCCGCCCCGCGGGAGAAATCGCGAGCTCCCGGCGAGGGTCCCGGTTGCAGGGCGCATGCCATCATCCCCGCCGGCAGGCAGGCCGCGGGCAGGCCGCCGGGGGCTCCCGTAGAGGGTAACGGCCTCCCTGCGGGCGCGCGGCCGGGTAGACGTTGGGGCAAGTTGTTGGGTTCCGAGTGCTGCTATTGCCCACTGAATCGATTCATGTTTGTCTTTTTTCTGTAGGCTCACGTGCAATTTGTTTTCCTTGATGATGTGTATGAACAAACTACATAGCACATATTCGTTGCTTCTCAGATGTCTAAATATTGGGAAATGTTGGAATAAACAGCGACGAAACTTCAAATAGTTTGTATGTTACGGGAAACTATTTTGTGTTGTTTTTTTTTGCACGCAATATTTTATGTGAATATCGTTTATATTTGGGATATTGGCAATATGATGAAAAGTAGCCCTTCTTTTAACTAATAGTTTTTTTCTTAAACATTCGGGACATTTCTCTACTTCTGTAAACTAAAAATTGCACTTTGTCACTTCCTAAATCTCATCAACTGGGATTGTAGTTTTCTTTACATACAACTTCTTTACATATGTTGCCCTTATTTCATAAATTCACTGTTGGTAATGGGGCCGCATACATTTTTTTCAAACCTACCTCCTACAAAACATTAGTTTTTTCATTCATATTCATAATTAGCATTTTATTTCTAGGAGGGTTTATCATATTTTTGCCAACCTACATTCTGAAAGGGTTGATAATTTGTGATCTGGATAATTTGTGTTTAGAGGTATAAACAGTGATGCTATTCATGATTGCAGTTATAAAAGGTCTATCACGATATATGTGTTTCGTATATAAAACGGACCTAATAATCTTTAAGAATTATTCTAAGGAGCCAGTACGACATAGTGCTTGCCCATTCAGTGGCGATTGTAGTGGACTGATTTCTTTTGGGGGGAGGGGGCCGGAACGTCTTTGTGAATCATCTTCATAAGAAGAGGTGGTACTGAGCCTTTGAGAGCTGGCGGAAGGTAAGGTCGTCGGCGGGGCGACGTGCTGTCGTGAGAGCGTTTCATGCAAATAGGGCATGTGCAGGCGCTGGGGCGGGGTCGGGCGGCGGGCGGGCGGGCGGAGTATCGGGGCCGCGCGTGCCGCCGCGGGCGTTGAGGCGAGGGGCGTGGGCCCGATGTGGTTTCGCACTCGCGCCCGCGGCGTCGCCCCTGCGCCCCCGGCCGCCAGCCCCGCAGTCGACGGCAGCCTCCCGGGCAAGTCGACACACCACAGACACGGGACCGGCGTTCTCCTCGCCAGCGTCCCTGCTCGTCGCTGCACTGGGCTTGTCTTCGTCGTGTTTTTGTTTTCTTCTTCAAATTAACAGGATTCTCCACATCATTCAGTGACGTTCTTAGAATTCGAGGATCTATATGTGAACATTTGGCAAAAACATGAAGGCTGTATTGAATTTTGTTAGTTAGTGGTATTTTTCGTATTTTGTAGTATATTTTCTACATTGATTTTTTTCATTACAAAAGGACGTTAATGATGCATGTAATTATATGCAGTGAGCTACATACGCATGTTTTGCGAATTGAAAAAAAGTTTGTTAACATGCCTTTTTGTGATGCGCATGTTTCTATTATGTTTAACTTTTTGTACAAGTGTTGTACAGTGACTTGAATGATACTAATACTTTGATTTTCTAGCAAATTTGACTGCAGATCATTTTGAAAGTTTTAATGCATGTATAAGAAATGTACATAAAAAATAAAAACGCAACTTTTGCGTTTGGGTTTGTATCGGTTTTTACAAGTCTGGTTTGACAACTGTCTTAATATGTCTAAATATAGAGCGTTCGAACGTACCAAATCATAATTTTCCCCTAGAATATGAGATAGTTTTTTTGCCACTTCGAGTACACTTTCCCTGTTGTTTTTTTCGGCCACCAGCATGGCAAGGTTTATTTAAAGTGTATCCTTGAGTAGTTCTGCCCACAATGTTTGTAGCAAGTTCTTTTATTCTACAAACTCCAGTTCAGAATTTCTAAGCTTCGCAAACTATTAATTTCAGTAAAATAATATTTATTCATTAAATTTTAAAGAATAATCTCGTCCATTCTTCTGGCAACGAACATTGCACCTTTTGCGCACCAGGCTACACAATGTCTACAAAGCGAGGGTCAACGCACCTTTAGAAATTCTTAGCCTCACTGACTTAAGAAATGTATCAATTTTTAAGTTAATGTAGAAGATATGAATATAATTTCTAAATTACTCTTATTGTATTGCAACCCATTCTTGTTCCATCCATTGACCAGCGTGTTAATTTGTTGTATTTGTATTTATATTTCGCCAATAATATTCTATAAAGGACGCCGTTAGATCCTGGGATTCCTAGTTGGTCACCCAACCAGCAGCCCGCGATGTCTCGAATTCGCTAAATTCTCGTAACTTCATGTTGTCAACGAATTTAGCTAGCGACGAGGTCGTAGCCTTTCAGTAGAACCATCCCAGCATCCGCCTGGATGACTGAGGGAAACCACGAATACTACGGTCGGGATGGCCGATACGGGGATTGAACCCGGGCCTCTCAAATGCGAAGTCCGAGCGCTACGCTTGGAGCCTCTTCGCTTAGTAGCGACTTAATTGAAATGCGAATCCATGGATTAATTAAATTCTTATTTCTTTTAAACTTAAAGTGGACGAAAACAATTCGGATCAGTATCATCGATACAGGTAGAATGTTTTAGATGAACTATTGGTATTTAGAGTATCCAAAAACTGATGTAGAAATATTACTTTTCTGTTAATTTTCATTTTGAATTATAATTCCTTAAAATACAAAAGGCACATGCACTCAGAAATGAAAAAAACAAAAACAAAAAAAAAACCTTATATGAACGTACAACTTCCTGCGATAGTATTCGTTGTACACATTCAGAACAGTGATCGTAAACGTAAATGTTAATGTGTTCATTCTCAAAACATTCAAGTTTGCGCTCACGATTGAATGATTTGAGTACAATACTCCACCATTAATAGTAGAGCGTGCGGGAAAAGTCTAGCTTTTTCGTTTAATAGAACCATTGCAGTTTTCAGAGCATAAATTCCTAGCTGTTAAAACGCTCGCCATGTCTATTGCAATATAGGGAACCATAACCATTCTTCCGTGAACATTTACATATTACTGTTACTCGTTAGTATACTTCCTATCGTCAATTTTACGTATTACTCGTTTTCGGTTGTAGATTTCCTATTCAAAATATTCTTTGAATTGATAGGTTATTACATCGCTAAGTGGCTATCTTCACGCTTAAAGTTGCAGTTACTGTGAATGGTACGTTAGAAGGTATAGGTTAAATCATGGACCTCGTGTCTGAGTTTTCATTTTGTTAGAGTTCCATCGCAATAACCACCAATCACCAAGCATAATGCATCACCATCTTCCTGCTTGTCCCCTCGTACTTCCGCAATCATCTTGGTATTAAAAGATACTATTTATAATAAGACCGGAATAACTTTGCTTAGAAATAACTATCTTTGGTGATCTCCCCTCACATGAAGCTTTAGAATAAATATTTTTTTGTTGAGTGCAACGACTTATCAAAGCGTCCTAGAACGTTCGTGCAAACATTTTGTAATTCTTGTATTTTGGATAAATTGCATTGTGAAAGAAATCACTGACTTGCATCTTTAAGATGTAAGACAAATTCGATAAATCTATTAAGTTTTTTTTAATTTATGCAGTTTATAAAAAAACATTTTCTCAAAAACCGCTCCAATTTTTTTAATTTATTTTTTCTCCAAGGACAGAACAAAGAACGCTTAAAATAATGGTGCAGGTCTTATGTTCGTTGTATTACCCGAAATTACGAAAATTGCAAATTTAGAAATGATGCGAGAAAGTATGTGCTCTATTAGCATCACTAGTTTGCTTTACTGGAGTTAATGGTTTTAACATGCTGTTCCGATGGATCATTTTTTATATTCGTTGTTGATATTTTGACTATTACAGTGACGAGAGGTATGATAAATCCTGTAAGTAAAATATTAAAATGCTTGGAAGCTTGCCAGCTTTGATTCATATAATACAATTTATGTTGGCATTCTTTTTTCGAATGTTTCCCAGATTAGCTTCTCTTGAGGGCCCACACCTTTTTAATAGCAAGAGAAGGTCACACACAGTTTTTAACTGTTTTTGACATAAATAAATAAATAAATAAAATGCTTTGACATTTAATTTTGGTATGTGTTCTCTAATTTATATTTCTATTTGAGTCCATATTATGAGTTAAAGTTTTAAAGTGGGTTAAAATGCGTCAGAATTAGCTGCACCATGAGAGTTCTTATCCAATATGTTGTTCAGCTCGTGTAATGTACACGTAAGCTTCAGCGGCTGGAGTTCATGATTTTTTGGCTGTCCGGGGTCCGACATGACAGGCGAAACGACAGCCTATCAGCCAACGACGCGGCGTCACCCGGATAGCCAAAAAGTCTCACCCTGTAAAGCATTATTTGAATTTTTACACTCGTTAACATATTTAACTAACCTATCAGTAGATACACAACGACAAACGTAATGAAATAAAAGACTGTGGACAATGGTAAATGTAGACTTTGGCAAACGACACATCTTTTCTTCACTTTTAATGGGAAGTAACCTCATGTACACCACATTATTTGTACATGTACACCATCATGTATACCCGTTGAAGTTTACAGTACGAATAATATACAATACGGCATAATAAGCAATTACGATGATAATGTAAGAATTATAATTTACACGTGCTTCCATTTGTTTCAATAATAATTCAGAAATATATTATTTGTAATATTATGTTTAAACATATACAAATACTCGTTAATTTAGAATTAATTTAAATTGATTACTAATAAAAACAAGAAAGGGAGAAAACACATTGTTAACACATCGTTTTTTTCTAGTGCGATATATTCTTCACCTGAGATTATTCGTAACTTCCCTGCTTGCATTTTGAAGAAATTTTTGGTGCTTTCTTTTTTGTAAATGATTAGCCCCTTTCGTAAAATAATAGTCAAGGTATTGCGGTTTGATCCATTTTATTTACATAATACCGCTGGCTACACCCATATCGTATACCTTGGGTTTCCTAATTCAGCTTGCGGTTTCGTTGTATCATGGTTTTGCGGTGGCGGGGTAAGGAATGGTCTAGAGAGCTCCCACAGAGTTAAATAGAATTCTGTCAATTTTCCTGTAATTAACACATGTACAATTACAAATACACACACACACACACACACACAC